GAATTGCCAAGACATGAACAATGTTAAAACACTTAGATATATATCATAACAATTAAGGCTGGTACGTTACTGCAGTAACTGGAGCACCTAGGTTAAAAATGAAATGTAATTTATTTTGAATTTGGAACAAATAAAGAGTTAAAAAAAAAGTAGGATTGCAGGAGAATTCCAATTAGAGTTGGAAAAGAATTTTAAGTATAATTAAAAGGATGTTTTAATGTTAATTTCAAAGGAACACCGATGAAAAGAAATTCATGGAAATTCAGAAAAAAAAATATCAAAGGAATCGTACCTTAAGGAGAATTACGAAAACAAATTGGAGGATAATTTACAATACATATTTACAATAAATTCTTAACGAAAGTTTAAATAAAATTCAGCAGTCGATTCCGAGTGACTTTTGAGAAGAATTCCGAGAGATTTCTTATAAAGGTTTCGAGTTCAAAGAAAATTTTGCGAAGAATGTCAAACGAATCTGACTCTCTTAAGATTTGCAAAGGATTCCAATGAAATGCTTAGAAGAGTTTCAATCGTATTCCAACGAGAATGCTGAGCAACTGTTACTGTTTGAGGAGAATTCTTCAAAAAAAAAAAATTATTGACTTTCTTCAAAATTTATTGCTTTTGAACAACTGAGCCGATTTCAAAAATCAAAATGTCAAATGAAAGGTAATTAAAAATAATTAATAAATAATTAAAAAAAAAAATATGATATTAAAAATTTGGGATTTAGAAATGAAAAGACATTTATTGTATTTGTTTTTTTTTATGGTTTTCATGGTTTGTAGACAGAAGGCGCAATAAGTTGTTATAGTTTTCCTTGAAAATTTAGGCTTTTTTACTCAACATATAAAAAATCAGCTATGTGTTTCTTTTTTTAGTTTTCGAGTTAAATTTTCTAGAAGTTATCAAGTTTTGGGTTTTCGCTCAATACTTTTATGTGCCTAGACTACCATGCGGCTCCATTGATTTATAGCGACTGTAACATGGTCACAACCACACAAACCACAAAAAACAAATACAATAAATGTTTTTCAATACAAAATCCCAATTTTTTTTAATCATTATATTTTTCCTAAAGTTATTTTTAATTATTATTCATTTTATATTTTGATCTTTGAAATCGACTAAGTGGTTATACATTTTTGAAAAAAAGTCAATTTGGAAAAAAAAGTCATTTTTAAAAACAAATTGATTTATTGGACCACCTTAACATATAAATGCATTTCAAGCTTGTTGCTTATCGCATAAGGCTTGTACTCGAAAAAAATACACCATTTTTATCCGTGTGTAACTTTTTTATCCGTGGGTAAAAATGGATGAAAATCTGGGTATAACTAGTTTGGAGTGATTGTTTACATGTGTAAAATTTCACAACAATCGGTTCAGTGGTTATTGAGATGTCATTGAAACAAGAAGAAAATCGCCGGAGAATTTTGCGCGCCGTCATGGAAAATCCTACTGCGACCATGAGATGGATAGGTGTGTTTCGGGTGGTAAAATCGTTTAAGGAGTCCCAGAAAATCGAAGACAGTTGACCCTGTGAATGCCCGGAAGGTGTTGGATTATTTCAAGCGTAATCCGAACCTTTCGATTCGCGACGCGGCTCTGAAGGCAAAGTGTTCCGCCTCATTCGTTCAGCAAACCATGAAACGAGCTGGACTTCGTGTATTCAAGGTCCGGAAGGCACCGAACCGGCGTGATCAACAAAACACGGCGGCCAAATCCCGCGAAAGGAATCTGTATCGAGAGTGGTTAACGAAACCGATGTGTGTGGTCATGGATGACGAAACCTACATCAAGGCAGACGCAAAGCAGATACCGGGGCTGGACTTCTACGTTGCCAAATCACGGTTTGATGTTCCGGAAGACATAAGGAAGAAGAAAGTGGACAAATTCGCCAAAAAATACTTGCTCTGGCAGGCCAATGCGGTAAACTGAGTAAACCGTACATCACAATGGGTACCATCAACAGCGAAATTTACCGTACCGAGTGCCTCCAGAAGCGTCTGTTGCCCTTCCTGCGGTCCCACGGAGGCGAGACATTATTTTGGTTGGACCTGGCATCATGCCATTACGCGCGATCGACGTTGGATTGGTACATAGCCAATAACGTTGTTTTTGTACCAAAAACCGCCAACCCCCCAAATTCCCCAGAGATTCGTCCAGGGGAAAGATTTTGAGCCATAATGAAGGCCAAAGTTCGAAAATCGTCCAAGGTGTTTAAGAACGAGCTGGAGCTGAAGAAATAATGGATGAAAGTGACCAAAAAGGTCGACTCCACTATTGCACAAAATGTAATGAGGGGTCTTAAGGGAAAGGTGCGGGCTTTCAGCGATGGAAAGGAAATTGAATAAAGTAATTATGCCGAAACATAATCCATATGTATTAGTTCATTCCCTGAAAGTTTCAAGAAAATCCGACTTAAAATAAATGTTTGGCGAATACTTTCGTCTGGTGCATTTTTTTCGAGTACAGGCCTTACTAGCTTATTGTGTGCTCCCAACTTAGTGTTCTATATGCATTTTCACAGTTATTAATTGAGAGATGTCTGTACCATTTTTGCATTGGTATAATTGTGTGGCAATTACAATCATACTCTTTGCCCAGGGAAGTCGAGAGATTTTCTAACCTGAAAAATTCCTAGACCGGATCGGGAATCGAACCCAGCCTCCTCCAGCATGGTCTTGCTTTGCAGCTGCACCTTTACCAACTGGCCTATGGGAGGCCCTCATAATATATAAATGGTTACCCTAATGACAAAATAACAGGTCTAATATTTTGCGATAAGGAACCAAACCACTATATCGTTTTGCTATGTAATGGCTGTATTAGTAAATAAAATATACTATAAAAAATGCCACGATCGGTATTTAGAACAAAAAGATCCTGATTTTGGGCCTTGGTAAATTTTCTTGGTTCTGAAATTAGTGCACTTTCAAATCTCATACATAGATAAATTTTGAACATCCCTACATTTTTGAATCCAAGATTGTGAATTTTCAAGACTCTGGAGCATCGAAAATATTTAAAAATCTTCGGCATTTTTGCAATCCCGGTCTTGAATAATAATACTCCACGTATCTCAGACGTTGAAATCCGGGTTTCGTCCATGTTTCACTGCCGTATATCAAATGATAGTGAGTGACTCAATTGACAGTGATGATGAGGTTCGTTTAAGAAAGTTTTGATTAAGAATTGATTGAATGGTTGTATTGGCTCATCTTCAGTCGAATGATATGAAAATTAACAGCACTAATGCTTACTTCTTTTGAGTCGAATTTTAGCAAAGATTATTGACATCCTGGAGTGTTGATCCATTTAGAGTGATATCAATCGCATATGAAAATAACAAAAACCACAGATAGATTTTAAATCGTTCGTACACAATATCCGATAACGAACCGACTGGAACGTGACGAAGAGGTGCGCAGCGGGCAAGGTAGTTTTACCAGGTGGAAAGCGACCTGCGATACCTACGCAGACGTGCACGTATCTCCTTTCGTTAAGGAAGAATAATAATAAGAAGAATATTATTCTTATAGTTCATCAGAAAAAATATTGTGATTCGACCTAATGACCCTTCACTAATAAAATTAGCCCATATCGAAACCGAGGTAAACTCTTGCCTCCCATCTGAAAAAATAAATAAAAACTACGAATGTATTTTGATTCCTTCTTATCGGCAAAGGACATTAAGATTATTTTCAAAGAATACACAGATAACAATATTTTGTAATTTTCAATTACGAACTGGAGCAGGTTTTTAAATATAAATTCACACGATTCATGATCAGTTATTCAATGAATTAAAACTGAAATTTACACGTTCGAGTAAATGTATATCGTCGTTCATTTACACTTCAATTAATTTTAAAACACAGATCCATGTAATATACAATTCAAATGAATGGATTATTAAATACTTTCACGTAAAATTAAGATTGTATTGATGTATTTTTCAACTAGGACCAGAAAATACAACAATGTGCCAAACGAAACTTTACATTTTGTTTTTTTTTTGCTGTGTTTTTTTTTCATTTAATTATGAATTATGCCTACCGTCCATTATGCCTATCGCATTTGATGTATATGAAAAGGGCCTTGTAAACAGAACTTGCAAGGCACTTTTCACGCGAAACGAAGCTCTCCCACGCAAATCAACAACACCATCAGCTAGGGGAAATTCTCTCCTTTCCGTTTTGATTACAAAACGAACGAAGGCCCTTTTCAGATGTTATGCGAGCATTATTATCATAAACCGGAAAAATACAGATGCCGTATGAAGAAAAATGAACAACCAGACCCTATGAGTTTTGTACGGATAAAATTTAAACAGTAGATTCCTACTGCTGTAAATGAACAATCGGTTGTCGGTTTTATTTACAGGTTGATTGCGCCGCATCGCAGTAACTCAATCCATCTCTGGAAGCAGTCAACCTGATTTTGTTTCACTCCTCAGCAATAAGGTTTGCAGGGCAAATCGGGTTGTGTATCACGAACCTTATCTGGACAGTGAGATTGATGAGAAAACTCACGATTCGTCGCTTGCGCTAAAATCCAATAAAATATTCAGCATTTTAAGGAGTTTTGAGCAGTTTTTAGCAGATAATTTAAGAACTCCATAAAAGTTACAATAGCTAAAACAGAGATGCACCATCTGTTCAGTCTGCTACATAGCGCTAGTGTACAGAATTTAATTGATGATTCTTCGATTATTGGTATTGATATGCTCAACTATCTTTTTCTTCTTCAAGGTGTTTATACTTCTGTGTTTTGCCGACTTTCAACTTAGTGTTCTAAATTCACTGTCACAGTTATTATTTGAAGGCTTTCTAACGCATGAATTTGTATATTATGTGGCAAGTGCAATGATATTCTATGCCCAGGAAGTTGCCACTATGCCCACTATGTTAAACTATCTACTAGCTACTACATCAGACTATCAAATTGTAATTCTTATAAAAAACACAGCCACTTGCTCTTTTCTTCATGCTTACCTCCTATCGGGAGCCGGTGTCCGATTGTCTCTCGTTAGTCACTGAAGAATCTACTACCGCTTATGTATCAGTTATATACATAAAAAAGCAACAAACTGCTTCTCTTTATTGCTTTTCACCACCACTTCTTCCAGCGTCGATTCTCAACCGAGGCTACCCACAATCTCATGTACACAACGGACGAACGGACGGAGGACCGAGGACACACTTAATAATATTAATATAATAAAACTTGGCGACGAGAATGGCGACAACGGCGCGCCGACGACGAACAAACTGGCTACTGTTGCCTTGTGCTTCTATCTCTTCGTAGTTCTCCGTGGAAAACAGTACCAACAACAACGACCTAAACGACGATGTTCACACAACGATACACGCTCGAAGGTTGATTTCGATAAAACAAACCAAAACAAACAAACACGTCTGGTTGCTGCCGAGGTTTGGTTTCCACAGCGCACTATAACCGTATGCAACCAGCTCCCAATTGCAGCACACTTCTATTGGTTATTGCTTCTATCTTCTTGCACGCGCAAATTTCCCTTAGCAACAAGCTTTCACTTTCGACCGGCTCCTTTTTCCAGCAGAGAATCACACAAAATGATGCAATCAAATGCGTTTTCGCTTTCCATCTACTCAACGACTGCGGTTTAGGATCGCTCCAATTAAAATCCCTTATATTTTCTGAAAATATTTACAGCGACTAAAACAATAGTACCAACATTCGGTCCTCATCCAAGTGCAGCACTCGGAGATTGTAAATTGCGCGCAAGGATGCCTTCTGCTTCTCTCTGATTCCCGCAATCTCTTTCTATCAACTTCTCATCCGTTCACGGCAACGGGTTCTGGCGAACTGAACTCGACGACGAACTGGCTATCAAGCATTATAGAAAACGAATGGAACGACACGCCGCATCCCGCTGGGGTTGGTAGTAGTGCTACGCTACTAATACGCGCGAATCGTGTTGATTAGTCAGCGAGAGAAGAGCGAGCACCCACGAGGTAGGTTTCTCTCAATATCGCTACCCTCCTAGGTCGCGCGGTGTGGTATGTTTTCAATCTGTGCCGGTTGCAGTGGTAGGCGACTAAACAAGAGTGCATACAAAGTATGTACAGGGGACTCTGTTATTAGTACACTACACATTGGCGTAACAACGTGGGGGCTAAAGCCCCTAGTAAGAATGTAGTCCCCTCTGTAATTACTCATTTCTTTACACATCAAAATTGTTCGCTAATTGCCTAATTTAGCAATTCGAAAAATACATTTAGCTCCCCCTAGGATTTTTCCTTAGTTACGCTTATGACACTACACATACTGGCGTAACTACGGCCAATAGGGTGTGTCAACTTTGCAATCCCCTGTTCCCCTTTGTTCTTTCAATGCTTAGTGAGGTCCTCAACAACTGTGCAACATTTGGACGAATTTGGTTATAATATCGATGTGCGGGAGAACTTTAAATGTTGCTTGGGAAAATGTATGGGAAACGAAATGAACCTTTAACTATATGCTTTGTATTACTTCTGCGTGAAGTGAAAGATTTAGATTAGTTGAAGATGCTAATTTCAAATAACAGACTAAAGTGGTAATTTTAATACGATAGATGAGGAGATGAAAGTATAGAGTTGATAGTTTCGTTAGAGTACGGCAATGTGAAAATTGTATATATAGAGAGTAGAAAGCGAGCAAGGACAACTTTTTAGGAAGGTACAAATCGGTTTGATCATCTCTCTTTGCCATTCCTCTCCAACGGGGGAGTTTGGTTTGCTGTTATTTCACCAAGTCTCGGACTTGAGAATGCTATACAAAACAACTTTGTCGAAGACTTCAAATCGAGTTGATCTTTGTACAAAAAGTTTCTAATTCCACACGTACCTATAAGCTCATATATTACCTGTAGGTAATAACTTTTTTCTCAGAAGTCTAATCGATTTGCAGTCTTCGACAAAGTTGTCCCAGTCTATTTACAAGATTTGGTGAAATTTGAGCAATATTTGATTTTTTTTTGGCAAGCAAATGAATAGGTTTCGTTTCGATTCCCATACATTATCCCGGACAAAATTTAAAATTCTCCCGCAAATCCAGATCATAACCAAATTCGTTCAAATTTTACACCCTTTGTTGGTTGTCTCAATACACGCTGATCCACCAAACAAACTTGACCCACCCTATTGGCCAGCGATGCATGGAAACGTGACCGGTATCATCGGTACATACCTACTAGCCGCAGCCGGTGTTGTTGAAATAAAGCGCGATGTGTTTTTGAGTTCGTTCCTTTATTATGAGTACACGCAGTGATTACTTTTGTTCGAGGGGAAAAGGAATAGAATCATGAGAATTTTAGTAATGTTGTGCAATTGCAATATCATTTCACAAAGCTGCATTGGAATTACTCATAACAGCAGAAACCCCTTGTGCGAGGAATAAATTTATTCTGCACTTGCATTTGCAGGGCATAATTCCAAAATCACGAAATTGAGGAAACTGTGATGTGCTCGGTGGAAGGTTTTTTAAATTACACGGTGTTACACGACAAAAACAAACTTTTCAAACGACTTATTGTAGGTTGTTAGTCTAGTCGAGTACACAATGAAATCATATTTGAAATCACCCCCAAAAATTTAAAGTTGTTCAGGCATTCCATAGCAAAGCGATATAGTGGTTCTCAAAATTTCTAAGACAAAAAAATTGAAGTTTTGTTCCTTATCGCAAAATATTAGACCCATATTTTTTTATTGTGTCATTAGGGTGACCGTTTCCATTAGCGGTCCAAAAAATTGATTTTTTTAATGACTTTTTTTTTAATTCATTGCTTTTTAACCACTGGGTCGATTTCAAAGATCCGAATATCAAATGAAAGGTATTTTAAAATACTTTTTAGGGAAAATATAATGGTATTTGGGATTCTGTATTGAAAAACACTGACTTTTTTGTTTTTTTTTTATAGTTTTCATGGTTTGTAGACAGAGATCGCAATATGTTTTTATATTCTTCCTTGAAAATTTAGGCTTTTTTACATAACACCTAAAAATCAGCAATGTTTTTGAGAATATATTTTTCTATGAAATCAAGTTTTGGGTTTTCGCTCAATACTCCTATGCGACTAGACCGAATGGTCATTAGGCCAAATTCAGGAAAATTATTTCCTAACAATTGCGAAGAAAGTTTGTTGGTTTGAAAAAGCAAATAATAGAAGAATCAATAAGGCTATTCCATATTGGACTCAAATCGCCGAAAAATATTCCGTCTTATGGCAAGAAGAAGAAGCAGAAAAAAACTACTATGCAATTAAGGGTGTCCACTACCTGAGCAACCGAGACTCCTCAGAAAATATTATTTGTCTTGGGAAAACTGGAAATCTCAGGGAGTTTTATCATTACCCAGGCAATTTTCAAATTCTCTTACTAAGGAGTATTTAAAGAATATTATACATTTTGTTATGCCAACATTTATTTTCCTCGTTATTTTCTTTCACTGATTTAACTTAATTGATCCTAGGCGGATTTATCTTCAGTAACAAAATAAATTTAAAAACTTCAGAGGGCTGAATTATTTTTTTCAAGATCTAACATATGGATATTTTTCAAAAAAATTTAAAATTTTGAACTTAAAAATAATTATACGTTGAGATATTTTCAAAAACTTATTTCCTAGTTAATTTCCAAGATCACAGATTAAAAAAAAAAAAACATCAATATTAAGGACCTACATCAGCACCGGTGGTGTAGTAGAAAGCATGACTACCTCTCACTCCAAAGGGCCTAGGTTCAATCCCAGTCATCACCGTCGGGATTTTCAGAGGCATAAAATCTCTGATCACGCCTTCCTGGCTGAAAATCTCCTTAAAAAGTCAACCAATCAACCAACCAAGAAATTTTAAAGAAAATTTCATACGAATTTCTGATATTTATTCCTAAGGAATACTTAAGAGGATTCCAAGGAAATTCAAAGAAGAATTCTGAAGATAATGTCAAGAAGTTTCTGGGAGAAAACGAATCCGGAGCTTTATTCCATAGGAATTTTCGGAGAATACTTCGGGAGTATGCTAAAAGGAGGATTACAATTAAATCTGGAAATAATTCTAGGAAAACCTCAAAGGAATTGCAAGAGAGCTCTGACTTGAATGCCACATCATATTTAATGAGAAATCTATGCAATCTGATACTTCACAGCAAGCGAAATCTAAGGAAACTTTTAAAGTGAGTTGAATTCCAAGGGAAGGAGTGAAATTCAAAGGACATCACGAAATGAATTCATTGAAATTTCTGAGAATGATTCCAAAGCATTACTTACTGGCGAGCATGTCAAGGTAATTCTGAAGAAAATAAAGCAATCATGATCCGGTGATAATTTTAAGATAATTTAAAGGAGAGCTAGAATGTACTTGTGAGAAGCATTTCAAAGAATTTATGGGAGTCCTGAGCAAGAATTCCTAGAAAAATTCCGTAGGAGTTTCTGGAAAATACAAAGTGAATGCTGAGGAAAACTCCAAGTGAACTTTCCGGAGAAACCACCCGGGAAATTATAGGTAATGCTGCATAAATTATTAATAATTTGAATAGCATTGTAGATGGAATTTAAAAAGTGTTCTGCAGATAATTTTCGAGAGCAATAAGGAGCAAATTATAACAAAATTCCAGAAATAGGTCTAAGATGACTTCTGCGATTATTCAAGCAAATTCTTCAGAAAATACTGAAGAAATCGTGTTTAGATTTCCAAGGGTATCAGGAACATAGAACTTTTTTCGAGATATTTTTACAAAAAGAAGAATTAAGATCGAGGATTTAAAAAATACTAATAAATTTTGAGATTTTATGTTCTGGAACGTCCAAGAAATCAATACATACATACATACATACAATATAACTGTGTTCGGAAAGCTCAACTAAAAATTATTTAAGGATGAGCTAATGACCATTCTTACTAATGACCGAACACCCTCAGGGCAATAGTACCACATCCGGAAATGACCAGAAACTTTGATATCTTGACAAATTAAATTTCATGAACTGGTAGCTCTATTGCGTATTTTGTGTATATTGGCTTAAATCAACTACTCATTATTACCATGAATGGATCCTTGAACCATTTTTGATTTTCATTTAAATAAATAAAGCCAAATATTCCGGTCAATGGAGCATTGTATTATTCTTGAAATAATACACGATCATAAATTTATTTGGAGAACTATTGAAGGTCCAAATAGCCGTATCTGCTTTTGTAAAACAATTTATCGAAACTCTTAGTTCGCCAACGCAAACCAACACCCTCACCAGGTAGGGTAAAGTTTCCCCAACCTTATGTTGGTGTTAGTTTGCGTAGGTGAGCCAAGGGTTTCGACAAATTGTCGTTTGAATCTTTATTTAAAAACGCAGATACGGCTATTTGAAAATTCATCTGTAGCTGTGTGGAAATTTCCACGACAATTGTGAAGAGAATTCCAAAATCTGTGAAAACTATAAATCGAATCGAATTTTGAAGGTACAATTCCAAAGGAATCCTGATAATAATTTTAAATGAATTACGAGAATAATTTCAAAAGCATAACGAAGTTAATTTCTAGAGAATTTTAAGAAAATGTCCAAGATAAACTTCAGAAGAATTTAGAAAAGAACTCCTAGAGAATTCTGAACAAAATTTTAAGATAATTCTGATGTCAATTTCTTGGGATTTCTAAAGGAATGCAAGTGATTTGTAAATAGAATTATGGAAGGAAGCTTCAATGAATTTCAAGAAAAAAGGTTCACAATTAGAAGAAAATCTTAGAATGAATGTCATGATTTCTTTGGATTGATATGCAATGATTTTCTGGACTATTATGGGAGTCAAGAATCTCAAACTTATTTTAAAAGAAT